ATATTATTACTAAATCATTGTCCCTTCAAATAGGATATTCATTCAATTAAAAGGGAAGTTATACTGAAAATTTAACTATATTATGACGTCATTCCAGTTTTACGTGTTATATAGTGCATTAGTTTTAGTGTGATTTTCAATAAACAATGTAAATTTAAAACATTTTCTCTTATAATTTGTGCCCAGCTGTATTATGGTATTATATACACTTTTATCTGTTCTCTTGAGTAATTATCGTGTATCAAATGCTCTAACAAATCTTATTCATTGAGTAGACTTTTTTCTAAGCTTTTATACTGTTTTTACTTATCGAATAAAAAATTGCATATTTTGGATGTGGTGATTCATAATTAGAATTCTGGTTTGAATATACATCCAAATATATCTAATACAAAAGATATCAATTTGAATTGGATTTATTTTTGAAATAGTAGAATTTTGAAGTCATTTTGTAACCCGCAGAAATAAGCTATCTTTGTCCATTTTTCAGTCAATATTTAAAATTAAATACTCAAAAAATGGTAAAAGCTATGAATCTAATTTCTGGTGTCAGTACTTATCCCATCAAACCACAGCTTTCTCACCGAGTGCCATGTTGATTTTCTAAAAGAAATGAAAATCCAAATTGCCCTATTTCATTTGTGTGTACATTTATCACATTGAAAAACAGTATCACGTTTATTTCTATTTCACTTTGTAACCTCTGCTTAGATTCGAAGTTGAAATAGGCTTTTATTGCTTGCTCTTATTTTTCTTCGCTATATTACAGTTTGGAGACTCATGCCAATTTACTCGACGTTTCTCACAAGATGAAATATTTCACAAAGTTTGCTTGCTCAATACCTTAGCTGTCGATAATTGAAATGTTTAATATCGAGATAAATTTGATGCACCAGAAAAAATGCATTGTTTAAAAATACAAATATTAATTTAAATGATTCTTTTTCAATATCCTACACGTGATAATAAAATTGCGGTTGTCAGCGAAGCAATTTCAATTCTGCATGATTATTGTAAACAAAATTATTGTAAACAAGGTTATTTTAAACGAGGCTTTCGCTTCGAAACAAATTTTACTTAAGAATTATCATTAAGGGACTTTGGATTAGCAAACCCATTTTTTTTAATCATTTATGCTTAATAAAACCATTTGGATATAATTTATTAATTTTATTACTATTATATTAATATTGTGTTAATGATATTAATTATAATATTAATAAAATATTTATTATTATAATATTATATTAATTTTAAATTCATATTATATAATATTATTAGTATTATTAATTAATAAAAGTATTGGTATTAATATTATATAATATTATGTCAGCATTAATATTATAATATGAATATAATGTTAACTATTATAATATATTAATATATTCATATACTATTATTGCTGTTATTATTATTACTATTAAGTATTATGGGATATATTCTTTTAATATTATTACTCTTATATTAATATTATGTAATTTTATGTTATATTCATATTATATACTATTATTGCTGTTACTATTATTAAGTATTAAAAGTACTGGGTAGATTTCATTAATATTATTACTTATATCAATATATTACTGTTGATATTATAATATGAATATAATAGTAATTATCATAATGCTTTATTAATATATTCATATTATATAATATTATTGCTGTTATTATTGTTAAGTATTAAAAGTGTTAGTTATATTTACTAATATTATTGCTATTATGTTTATATTATATTCACATTGTTTAATATTATGTAATACTCATATATTATTATTGCTGTTATTATTATTAAATATTAAAAGTTCTGGATATATTTCATTAATATTATTACATTAATATTATATTAATATTAGGTTAATATTTAATATGAATATAATAAGAATTATTATAATATTATATTAATATCATATTCATATTATATAATATTATTGCTATTATTAAAAAGTAATTTTTTTAAAATTAGACACGGTTTTCTTCAAGTCTTTTTGTTGATCTCTGGAGGCGGGATGAGGAACGTCTTTGTTTTTTGTGTAATGTCAAATACTTCCACAACTTTTCAAAGCTTCTTTTTAGGGTTTTTGTTTTAAAGTCATCTAGTTACTAACTGTTGCGATTATGGGCACTACCGTCACTGTCATCTTCCATAATTTTCACAAAAACCGGACAACGTTTTGATATTTTTGATTTCGCATTTTGTTTTCATTTCTGATATACAGAGAGCTACCGCTACACTTTGATATTAGTTGCCTTCATTTTTAGCAATCAAATCCGCCCCTTCGAGTTTGGTTATTATTATTATTATTATTATTCATTATCTGATGTTTGTGAAGGTAATAGGACAAAAATTTCGGTGGAAAAAGTCACAGGCTCTTGTCCTAAAAGTGGACAAAATCCAAATTTCATAAATAAATTGAAACTTCAAGCAACTTTTAATTAAAATTTTAATGTCAAATTGAGGGTAATAATAACAATATCCAATATATACACTTATATATACACT